GGTTTTTGGCCAAGTGATTTGTAGGGCTCTACTTCTTTAGAAGGACCTCTTGCACACGTATATCTGGCAGTTGACTGCACTGGCCCGTACCTCATTGAGCTCTCAGCTCGTACACTGAAGAGTTCCCTGGATACCTAATTCAGATGATTTGGAAACAGAGCCCTCCAGACATGTTAGGGTCTTCATTCCTAGAAACATCACTGGGTGTACATGTTAACAAGTCTGAAATATTTGCAACATCACAGAACTGTATATTTATTGGAATACTTGGTATTATGAATAATAGATAACCGAAAGAAAAAAAGACCTACAAAAAATTGTAGGTAAAACCAACAAGGGAATGAGATGTAGAAAATAAATTTGTTTAAAGTTTTTATGCAGAAACACTCATTTTATTACTGTTTATTGTAATTTTTTCTGTTAGGAAGCTGTAGTCAATTCTTCCCTTCTTTGCAAAGACGTTTATTTGCAAGACCTGTAATGTTTTACTAATTTTGCTGAAGTACGCTTCTTGTACTTTGGTAGTGACATTTGTACATCTCTTAAATGATTTAACACTATGTCCTTTAAGAAATTGTTTTCGGCCTGTAAGTAACTGTCAGATAACAGTGCCTGTCCGGTGTCCGTTGGCTTTAGCTACACTCATACCTTTTCCTTTTTGACTGCAGCGTTAAACTCACAACTGTCCAGTCTGTGGAAGACACAGTCCAGCAAGAGAAGCAAACCATATACATCTAGACAGCTCTGATTAGGACAGCAATCCTTAGGTGGTTGTTGTATACGTTCATCTGTACAGGGAGAACTTGAATTGCAATACAGTGGGAAAAGTTTTAGAAGTCAAATGAAGCATTTTTGAGAGAAGTGTCATTTGAGACTTACGCAAACTGACCTTTTTACGCTTACTTGTTCCAGTCTGGTTTTCATGTGGCATTGTATTTAACATGGAAAACTCATAGGTTGATGCCCCCTTGTGGTCTTTTACCAAAATAAATAGCACAAATGGAAACCAGTCCTGGAGATATTAATACTGTTAAACCATTCATTCCTTCCTTTATGAAATAATTTTTAAAAAGTGACTTCTGAGGAAAAACATCAAGGAATTATTATTCCTGTATTCCATATACTTTATTGACTTTAAAATTTATCAGATATTATTTTAACCCTTTGTAACGTGCGTATATGTTAGCTGGACACTGATGTAAAGAAGTTGGTTGTTGGGTGGGCTGTCTGTTATTGTCATCCCAGGCATCTAACTCAGTTAGTTATGAGTGGCTTACAAATATGATGAGATATGATAGTAATTATAGGACTAGCGTACTACCCTTTCCCCCTGAAACACACAGACACACACACACACACACGTAAATGAGGCTTGGGAAATTTATTGTTTATACTTAGTCACTTGAGCTGAAAGGGCCAGGAGCTGTATGAGGAATCGGAACAAATAAGGAGTTATCTTAGTGAATTGGTGAATTTAAGCTTATTTGCTTTTATTGACGTTATTGGCAAGGTCTCATTGTATGAGAACCTGAGTTTTTGGAGGAAGTGGAGAAGTAGCAGCAGCAGTCAGTGTTGCAGGAAGGCAGACTGCAGATGCAAACAGCTGTTTTTTGGTGCATGATGGTTTGGAACCAGTCCAGTACAATGAGTATGGGCCTTGAGATTAGATAGACGTGGTTAGGTAAACCTGCTTTTATTTATGTTTTTTTATTTTATTTTTTTTTTTGAGGAAGTTTAGCCCTGAGCTAACTACTGCCAGTCCTCCTCTTTTTGCTGAGGAATACTGGCTCTGAGCTAACATCTTCCTCTACTTTATTTGTGGGACGGCTACCACAGCATGGCTTGACAAGCGGCGCCATGTCCACACCCGGGATCCGAACTGGCGAATCCCGGGCTGCCAAGAATCGGAATGTGCGAACTTTACTGCTATGCCACCAGCCCGGCCCCTAAACCTGCTTTTAAAACTGGTTTTAACTCTTACCAGTTCTTGTGCAGTTTTACAATATAGGGTAAGTTACTTTATCTCTGAACGCAGGTTTCCTCTTTTACAGAAGAGGTTAAAAACCTATCTTATTGCACTGTTTACAGCTTGATTTTCATCATATGAAGACTTGACATATACCACTGTTACTTTTCTCTTAGGGTGAGGGCAGTTTTGAGTTATAAAGAAAGTGTGCCGTATGATTTTGTAACTACTGGCTGTTGTAAAGACTCAGTGACACTGTTCTTCAGCAGTGGCGAGTCAGCACCTAGCATTTTTCTTTGCTGTGGACTTAGTGCTGGGCTGCTACAGCAGTGTATGTTTGGTTTAGGGATTCCTGGCTATAGGTGTAATTACATCACATTAAGGAATCTACTAGGTCAATTATTTTAATAGTTGAAGCCTATTAACCAATTCTTTTGATAAAGATAGCCATCTTACTTTAAAAAAAGCTTTTGTGAAGGACGACAAAATGATGAAATGTTTTTTGTTGTTTTGCTTTGTTTTTCAAGAGTTGCTTAGAACCAGGCTCACCATCTTATAGTCACTTTATTTATTTTAATACCAAAGGAATTAATCTGAGTCCATTTTCAGAAGAAATAAGATTATTTGGAGTTATTTAATTTAACAGAAAAATAAGATAGGTTTTTTTTTTTTTAACTCAGGTGTGTTCAACTTTGAATCCTAAGATTTTCTCCCTTGTAAAACTTTCCTTGACAGCTAAATTGCAGAAATTGACTAATTTCTTCTTTTTGAATAACTTGCTGTAAAAGAGAACTAGAAGGATATCTCAAAATAGGAATAGAACGGCCTGGGTTCAAATGTTTTTTGGAAGTAGATGGGCTATAAATGATATAAACAGAGATAACAGTAGACATACCATCAGGAGGCTATTCTGTGCATTTTCGTACCTGCCTCTTTTCACCTTTTCCTTTATTTCTTTGGTTCTCAAAATATCTAGCCTCCGTTTGGAAAGTGCCTAACTGAAGTCTCTGTTGTTCTAAACCCTGTATGTAACTAATAAAGACTTGAATATAAGAAAGTATTTTGGCAGTGAAAATTTCTCTTGTAAATTGTGAAATGGACTTTTGTTGTTTTATCCTTGAATATTGGTTCTTGGGGAGACTATTTTAGGGAAGAAAAGTTGGGGGGGCCTGGGGGAAAGAGAGCTAGAACAAAGTGGAGAGTAGATCATAGGGGATGATGGCAGGAAGACATGCCACTCTACCAGGGCCTTGTTTTTTAAACATAGAAAGCATATGTGCCAAATTTACATATTTACTAATTAAAAAGGCTTCCTGGAAACATTAAGTAGACTATCTTCTGTAACCTTTAACACTGTCACTAATGGATATTGCATAGAAAATTTCATCGGAGGTCCTTTAAATAATGTAAATGATTATGAATATGTAACTAGTTAATATGCAGCTATGAAAGGATTATCCTGTGGAGGTTAATGAACATCCTGCTCTTATGGTTTGCTGGGCTTTGCTTTTTGTGCTTTTGGCTCACTTCATGCTTGGAAACACATGCATTGGGATTGGAAAGCATCCTGACTGTTTTTGGGTCTCATCTTTTAATGGGGTTGTTAAATAGAACTTTATAAAAAGGATTTCATGAAGATTTTTTCTTTTTCAATTTACATTTAGTTCTGTTTGTCTGTTTTATAATTACTGCCAAATCAGAAACAGTGAAATGGATTGATGTGGTTGTAGCCCGGCTCTTCCCCATGTAAAGTCGGTGCCCTGTTATATATTACCACTGTTATTAAGTGTTGCACGTGATGGATGCTTACTGAGAGATCTTCATTCTAAAATGGACTTTCTATGCTGAGTTAATGTGTAGTATGGTTGGGTATCTGATTACAGCATGTATTTTGGTACAGGATTGCTGCCTTAGTATTTAAAATGCCCCAAAGGAGGACATGTATTTCAGGAATTAAATGTTATAATAGAAAAATTTAGTGACAGCCCCACTCCACCCCCCTGCCAAAAGGTCTGGTGATTTTTGGGTGAAACATTGAGCATATACAAGAGACAGTAGTGGTATTAGAACAGTGAACTAGAGCCGTGTGTTTCAAACCGGGTAATACTGCTGTTTTTTTCACTTGGCCTTATGTTAAGCATTTTGGGTTTTATCCCTTAGTTTCTCTGTCTCTAAATGCTGCTACAGAATTTTAGATTATTGTTTAAAGTTTTTATTGATGGGCAATTTAAAAACATTGACTAGTAATCTTTGAAAACTGTTATTTTTTAAATTGCCTTTTGAGTGTTTTTTTCCCCCTTATTGATTAGTGTTCTTATTTGTTTTCTGAGTATTTTGTGAATCTACTGAAATAGCTCTAAGGAAAACAAATAATTTTTGTGCTTAATTTCATTGTTTTAATATTATAAACATAGTTTAAACTGGCTTTGAAGTGCTTAAAATTTATCCTGATTCACTGGGGGTACAAATGGGCTGTTCAGAGCATCTCTTTATCCCAAGTATTTCTTCTTGAAAATGTAGTAGAAAAATATCACTGAACTCATTTTTAATGCATCAGAATAAAAATTACAGATGAAAACATTTGGAGATACACTGACAAAATAAAATATTTTCACTAGTCATTTTTTTTTTTTTTTTGCTGATGCAACGTGGATGTTACATTGTTTTTTTTTTGTTATTTATAACATTTGCGTATTCTACGAAATATGTAACGTTGAAAACAGGTCTGTAGATTGTACGAAATACTAGTTATCTTATATCATATGTCACCTAATAGTTATGAAGCGGGTTTTGTACCGAAGTATGAATCGGAAAGCTGTAATTTGTTCTGCGGTTATCAGCCTGCGTTAGAGGGTTGTGATAAAGTGTGCTGCTTAAAAACTAGCATTCACATCTCTGTGCATTTGACAAATAAAAATGTATATTGAGATGCTGTTAAATCTGTAAAGCCTCTGTTCTAGTTTTCTGATACACTGACTTTGTAGCTTTATGTATAGTCCTGTTTTTCATGAGTAGTTATCTGTTTTCATGACAGGTGGTCACTAACTGCCGAGAGAAAATCCAGCATTGGTGAGTGAAAGATGGTTTTATTCCATTTCTGAAACACTGATGGGGTCACCTGTTTGTATTTAAATAAAGTGTATGCTATTTTTTTTTGTATTCGTAATTGAATTCTTCTAGTAATCTCCATTTTGAATGCTTTTGATACTAACTTATATTGTCTTTCACTGCTTACTGAGTTATATACATGTTCCCTGATTTCTTGAAGTTTTGTCACCATTTGTGTTTATTCTAATTGTCTTCTTTTTTCCTTTCCTTTCTTTTTTATTAAAATAATATTAATATCATTATGAAGTGGAGCCTGAGACATTTTTGAACCTGACTAATCATAGAGAACTATTTTGGGAATATTTCTTATATTTGTAGCAGAATAATAATTGGAATCAAGTGTTGTAAAATAATGATGGAAATATGCACAGATACATTTTCCTAAGTTTGAAAAATCTACCTGAGTGCCTACGTCTCAGAGCCTGCACTTTTTCAGGGTGCAGAGAGAAAGCAAGCATGTCTATTTTACTGTGCTAATCTATAGTTAATAGGACAATGCTTGGTACATAACACGCTTTCCAACGTCTTCTGAGGAAAACACTCAATTTAATGGTAAATAAAATCTTATATTATGAGTTGTCATGAAGTCTAGCTCTTGATCTTTCAGATACCAGATTACAATATATCCATGCTGCGTTTACAACGATTGTACTGAGAGAACAACAGGAGCTGTCTTGATTGTTGTCTGCAGGGTTGTTGCAAAATTGTGGTGACTGCCCCTTTAGTGGTGAGATTAAACCTTTGGTTATACACCATCAAGCATATAATATTTTAAATTTATTTTAAGAGGCTTTTTCTTCATGCCTGAGAGATCTCCAAGGAAATAATTTATAGTTAGTGTATATCAAATGTTTTTTGGTTTAAATGCACATAGGCTGCAAGCAGTGGATAAGAGTGAAAATCGGTGCAATCTGTACACATCATCTTATTAAATTCTGACTATTGGCTTGCAGAAAATAATCTAAAACTAATAATATCCACTTTATAAATACAAATTGAGGGACTTCATTAATTTTCAGTAACCGCAGCGTTGTACTTGCATCTGCTGGTGGTGTGAGTCTGTCAGCTTTTCTGTAACGGGCCATTCGCTTTGCATTGTACGTTCAGTCCAGGTTAAAACTTGAAATGCAAGTCCTTGGCCGAAGGATCCACCATTTCCCCCCTGCTAGTTTGGCCTAAGTGATCCATTTTACAAATAATTCCCAGGACAAATTTTATTAGTGTGGACTTCTCTCTATTGGTTTTGGTAAGGAATTCAGGAAATTAGGAAAAGGTTGAATTCATGCAGAACAGATTCTAATTTACATGAGTGTGTGAATAACAACTTGCTTCTGGTTTGTTTTGTAAGATTCTTTCCCTGTTAGACTGAGAATTCTTTAAGCCCAAGGAGCATGTTTTCATCCTTTTATCCACAGCACCTCCTACTGTGTTTGGCATATTATGGGCACTTCATAAATGTTTGAGTAAATGAAGACAAAATGCGTAATCATTTTATATGTAACAGTTTACAAATGGTACAGTGGTGCCTAAGCCTGGTGACCTCTCACAGACAGAAAGGTGACGTGCTTCAGGGCAGGTTTCTGTGACTCTCAAGCTCAGTTTCCAGTTTTCCAAAGCTCTCCAAACTACAGAAGCTTAGCATATTTTCCTGTACATATCTTAAAGTAATATAGTGCCTTATCTATACATTAAAGAATTAAAATAATTTTTTCCAGTTAAAATTTGATTTTTCCTCTGAATCATTTCTGATAGGGCTTAGGAACTTTTCTGATAGGGCTTTCTGTTTGTTTTTAATGAGGATCTGATATTGCTAGAATCTAAATGGCCAGTGAACTCACCAATTAATTACATTAAAGAACTGAAACCAAAATGTCTCCATTCCTCTGAAAGCCAGGAAATTGCTGTTTGGGAGCATTGTTAATTCTCAAGATATTTTTATTCTCTTAATTCCACACACAGTGATTGAGTTCCTACTATGTGTGCCAGTATTACGCTACTGTTCGGAATTGAAAGACCCTGCCATGGAGGAATTCATAGTTAGACACTGAACAGGGAAATCACAATAATTTTGTGCTATTTGCTTAGAGATAGGAAGCAAGGACAGAGGCTGGAGCCATTTTTAAGGGTGTCTCACACACTGCTTTGGAAAGCGTGTTGCCTTTCATTCTTTTTTAACCCTTGGTGTCAGCGTAGTCTAAAATACAGTTTGTATAGCTAAGCTCCCTTCTCTGTGGACACATACCAGAATAGTAAGGAAGGGCAAAATAGATGATTTAAAAAATACCTTCTGATGCTAGTGATGTTTATACTTGTTTGTGCTCTTTTAAAGTATTGTATTTAAGGGATAAGTAATGAATATTCTAGGCTTCAAAAATAATATTTAAAAAAATTTTTTAAAATGTAGGACAGAAAGTAAAAATATTTGTAGAAAAGTAGGAGTAAAAATTGCCTAGGGCAATGGGATCTATCCCCAAAAAATCTCTTCCAGAAAAGTAGTCAAATCCCAGAACTTTGGTGAACTGAAGACATTTATAGTATTTATTTAGTTAATAACAGATGAAAAGGAAATGTTTGAGCCTAATAGTTGAGAATTTGTGCAACACTTTTAGAGCTAGTAGTGGTTTTCAGTTTAGTGGAGATTTAAAAAAAATTTAAATACAACTTTTTTTTCTTATAATCCTTTTTACTTAACTCAGGAAAGAAGGTATTATAATCCACACACTATTTTCTCATTAAAATGTGGATATGCTTCCCACTGTTTGATCCACTAGGGGCTGATTATTCTGTTCGTAGATTATTTGTAATTTTTTATCTTTTTAATTCTTCCCTAAAGAGCATAGGATTTGGAGTCAGACCTACGTTTGAATCCTCTCATTTACTGACTTTGTATTGTAACCTTGTGAATTACTCAGATTCTCAGTTTTCTCCTTGTAAAGTGATGATGATACTATTTAACATGAACGTCAAGTGAGATAACATCTGTAGAACACCCAGCCTGGCAGTCAATAAATATTAATAGTAGCTCTGAAATAAAATTTTAATTGTAAGATGAATAAAGACAAAAACAAAACAAAACAAGCCAAAACTTTGTAAATATTCCTGAATGTTTTGTATTCTTATCATTATCTGTTTTATCATGATGGAGGGATGGCATTCTGAGTAGTAGTATTTAACCTCACATTAGTGTTTTAAATAACTGTTTATTATGAAGAATTTCAAACAAAGGTGCAAGAGTAGTATAGTGAACCCACACGTACCCACCACGCAGCTTCGCTATTTATCAACTCATGGTTTTATCTAAACCATTTCATTTAAACAGCCTCTGCTACCCTCTCCCATCACCTCCAGCTATTTTGAAGTGAATCTAAGACGTATCATTCTATGTGGAAATATTTCAGTCCATATCTTTAAGATGTAAAAGACTATGTGTTAACTTTTTAAAATTTGAATTAAGAAATTTTAAATTCGGCAATATATTTATATAGTTCAGAATTTAAGAAGTACAAAAGGGCACAAGTGATATGTAGTTTCTCTCCTACCCTTGTCTCCCAATTCTTAGTCCTCTTCTTTGTAAACAACTGTTTTGTACCAGTTTCTTGCAGATCTTTTTGGAAATTGTTTGCATCGGGGTGTGTGTGTGTGTGTGTGTGTCTGTGTTATTTCCAATGTATGTGTATGTGTATGTGTATTCATCCACATGTTTATATATTTTCTGCTCTCACACTTTTTGACAAAAATGAAATCAGACTGGACACCGTTCATTTGATACTATACCTTGGAGATTGTTTTAAATCATTGACTAACTCTTAATTTCATTCCCATGAACTTCATTGTGTATCAAATGTCTAATTTTTAGAGTTACCAAATAAGATTTGGTAGTAATTTTTTTCCCCCATAAATAATGGCCACACCACTGAGAGTATCGATTTTGCAACTCAAAGTACATCCTTGCTAAGGTGTTATAGCCATGATTTATAGCTCCTTAATAAAATTGCTCCAGAACTTAGTGGTGTAGAACCGCACCTTTGTCCTGTGTGTGACTCTGTGGCTGTGCATGTTGGGCTGGATTTCGCTGTTGTCCTTCTGTTCCTCTAGTTCTGGCTCACTTGGGTAGGTGGAGCCTTTTGGCGCCTGGGTCAGCTGGGTTGTCCCCAATGGCTCACCCAGCAGTCTGGTGGCTGGTGCTGGCTGTTAGCTGGGCCTCTCTGCATGTGCTCTTTTGTCCAGCTTGCTTTACATGATGATCTCAGGGCAGCAAGGATGGAAGCTGCAAGGCCACATTCTATTGGTCAAAGGAACTCACAAAGCCAGCCCAGATTCTAAAGGTGGGGAATTAGACTCTACCTGTTGGTAGGAGGAGTGACAAAGGATTTGTGGTCATTTTTTGAGGCTGGCCTGGTGGCACAGCAGTTAAGTTCGCACGTTCCGCTTCGGTGGCATGGGGTTCGCTGGTTCGGATCCCGGGTGCAGACCTAGCACCGCTTGTCGAGCTATGCTGTGGTGGGCGCCCCACATATAAAGTAGAGGAAGATGGGCATGGATGTTAGCTCAGGGCTAATCTTCCTCAAAAAAAAAAAAAAAAAAAAAAGGTCATTTTTATTGCACTATAGATGACTTCTATTGAATGTGTCCCACGAAGAAAAAGAAGTCTCATGACTTGTGTTGATGTGTGAGAATTAAATGAAATATGGCATGTGATGCCTGGCACATAGAAGTCATCTGTATGTTAGGCATTATTTATAATCATAAATTGTATATATATGAATTGTATAAAGCAAGCAAATTCCTTGCTTCCTTCAGATCATCTTAAAAGAGTTTTAGGAGCTGACCTGGTGGCATAGTGGTTAAGTTCATACGCTCTGCTTTGGTGGCCTGGAGTTCATGGGTTTGGATCTTGGGCACAGACCTACACTTCACTTGTCAAGCCATGCTGTAGTGGCATCCCACATAAAATAGAGGAA